AAGATATGAACTTTGAAAGAAATATTCAGTCCATTTACTTGGTTGGATTTATTGACTTATAGTTTCACGAATGAGGTAACCCTTCTTACTGTCGTTAATCAAATTGAAGACACCACGTTTGACTCGATTTTCCTGTATCCCGTCAAGTGAAGATGGGTGTTTTTGTTATCTCGCCTGCGTAGTAAAAAGCGAGACAAAGGCGCCGCTTTTCCGGTGACGACGGCGACGGCGTCAACATTAAAAACTTAACCTAGGGTTAAGTTTTTTGAATTTTTAGTATAATTTTGAAAGTATATGTTCTTATTCAATTAATCTTGGACTAAAGGGTTATCAAGTATCCCCAATCAATTGAGTAGAATTTCAGGTCGCAAAGTCAGGGTCAAATGTAATTTCAGGTCTGCAAACTTAGACTTTGTTGTGGCATCAACATCAAGATTTTGATTTTTTAGCATAATTTCAAAAGTGTTTGTTCAAATTTCATGAAACTTGTACACAAGGGTTATCAAGTATCACGAATCACATGACGAAAATTCCAGGGTCACAAAGTCATGGTCAAAGGTCACTTTAGGTCAGGAGACTTAAGATCATGTTTTCACAACCAAATATGAGAATTCATAGATCAATTTTTTAAAATTATTCATATTCATTAAAGTTTATCAATCTTGGTACAACTTACAGTAAATAATTCTTCTGATAATCAATAGTCAATATTCACTTCAAAATGCTGATTGTATCAGAGGATTTTATTTTGCAGGCCTTCTAATGGTCCACTCTGCCTATAAATAATGTCCCAACCTCAATTTTTCATCATATCAAATTGCGTGATGCAGGCGAGACCACCTAGAGAATTTCTTTTGTTTTCTGTATGTTTCAGTAGGTTACAGAAATTGAAAAATCACTTGCTTTCTGATTTTTTTTTCATCGGTTAGGTGCCCATTAATATTGATGAGTTCATGATATTTTTCAATCAATAAGTTTTTTCATAGGCCACGACTTTGGAAAAGATTTAAACATTAAAAGAGATTTTCAGTCCCTTTAACTTTGTAGATTTATTTATTAATAGTTTTACAATGAAGTAACTCTATCCTTCATTGTCATATCTAATTGATGTTATGGTTTTGACTAGATCGACCTGTTAGCTGTGAAATAAATATAAATATGTCAACATGGAGATTAGTTTTATCATCGTTTTAATACGACTCTTGTCTTTTGAACTCGATTTGCGCAGATATCGACGATTGTACTCCCGATCCGTGTATGGGTAGAGGAGCTTGTACTGATGGAGTTAATTACCTTTACATGCGACTGTAATGATGGCTATGCTGGGACTACCTGTGAAACTGGTAAGCTATCAATTCTAAAACAGATTACGTACTACATATATGCACTTATGATGTAAAACAAAATCCAATGAAATTCCAACGCGTTGCTCATCAAGAAGTTATAGGTAAGAGCAAACAAGGAAAAACAAAAAGAGAGAAATGTCTAGTGACTGTCAAGGGACATTGTTTAGGTTTATCTTACTTGAGAGTAACCAGGAGTGAAAGTATAGCGATTCTCTATTGATAAAGAAATGTTTTAGGATACGTTGAAACTAACATATGTCATTGTGATCATAGCGATTCAACT